AGTAGTAGTAGTAGTAGTAGTAGTAGTAGTAGTAGTAGTAGTAGTAGTAGTAGTAGTAGTAGTAGTAGTAGTAGTAGTAGTAGTAGTAGTAGTAGTAGTAGTAGTAGTAGTAGTAGTAGTATTAGTAGTAGTAGTAGTAGTAGTAGAAGTAGTAGTAGTAGTATAGTAGTAGTAGTAGTAGTAGTAGTAGTAGTAGTAGTGGTAGTAGTAGTAGTAGTAGTAGTAGCGGTAGCAGGAGTAGTAGTAGTACAAGTAGTAGCAGCATTAGTAGTAATAGTAGTAGTGGTAGTGGTGGTAGTAGTAGTAGTAGTAGTAGCAGTAGTAGTAGTAGTAGTGGTAGTCGTAGTAGTAGTAGTAGTAGTAGTAGTAGTAGTAGTAGTAGTAGTAGTAGTAGTAGTAGTAGTAGTAGTAGTAGTACTAGTAGTACTAGTAGTACTAGTAGTACTAGTAGTACTAGTGGTACTAGTAGTACTAGTAGTACTAGTAGTACTGGTACTAGTACTACTACTAGTACTAGTACTTGTACTAGTTCTAGTACTAGTACCATGGGTAATATTATCTGTATGATTATTATTCCTCCTCCCCCCCTCCCCCTTTCCTCCTTCCGCGTCTCCGCGCCCTTTTCACCGGGAACTGAGCTGCATTTTGTTGGGGGGGCATTATTGTGAACATTGACGGAAATCGCCCGCGCACCGAGTCCGCGACACGTCTTTGCGCTCCTGCTGCCCGCAAGGGTGGGGCAGGATGTTTCCGCCTTTCTCCGCGGGAGCTGACCTACTCATCCCACGCAATTCGGCCGCCTAGCTACGGCCGAGTTTCGGCCACGGTCGTAGGACACGGCCTGGAGAGGACCCCCCGAGCCTTTCTGATCATCGGCAGGGCTGGCACGCCACTCAAGTTTAGCAGTGTTCTAGCCTCTTTGAGGGGCAGCGGATCGGTCGCTGGCCGTTTCCATCGTCCCCCTCCCCAACAATTTGTGCATGTATGTGTCAGTGTAAATGTGTTGTGTCTTGCGTCCTGGCGTCGAGCACCTCACAGTGGCCTCGAGGATGCTGCGCAGGTCGCTGCCGAGAGCGAGGAGGAGGAGGGAGAGGAGGACGAGGAGGACGAGGAGGAGGAGGAGGAGGAGGAGGAGGAGGAGGTTGGCGAGGAGGGGGCGGGGAAGAGGAGGCGTTTCTAGAGAGAGGGGCGAGGAGGAGGGCGCTTGGGACCACTGGGAAGCGGACCTCGGTCCGCCCTCTATTTCGGGCCCCCATGCCGTCCCCTTCGCCCCGTCGTCGCGTTCCCCAGCCCCTCTATCGGCCGGATTGAGCCTTTTTTTCCCAAGGCCCCCTCCCTGCCAACCTCCCTGGGGCGCATAGGGAGGGGCGACGGCTGTGCCTTGCCACGAGTCTGGGATTGCCCCCTCTGCCAGCGCAGGCCAGTTTTCGGTCAAAGTGGCCTCATCGATTGAGCAATTCAGACATCATGAGCCATTTGCCTGCTGCTCATCGGGCTCGCCATGGCATTTCACCCGGCGGAGAAGAAGAACACACTGTTGTTTGACGTCGCAGTGCACTAGAGGCAATCCGCACGCGCGCTCGAGGGCGAGAAGGCCGCAAGCTCGGAGTTTCGATGAGGAGGGCGCCCCCCCGCCAGGCAGGGATCCTCGCCGGGAGCGGCGCTGGCCAGCATGGCCGCCATGAAGGAGGAGCCGCCCGACTGGGACGAGGAGGGCGCGCCGTCGCAGGCCGCGCCGGCGTCGCAGGTGCCCTGCAGCGGGGTCGCCGGCCAGGAGGCGGGCGAGGACGCGCCCCTGGCCTCCGCCCGCTCCTCCTCCCTCCCTCACTCCCTCCTCGGATTCCTCCCTCCTGCTCCTCCCCCTCCTCCTCCTCCTCGGGATGCTCCCTCCTCCTCCCCCTCCTCCGCCTCCTCCTCCTCCTTCTCCTCCTCCTCGCTGCCCGAGTGGCTACAGAGCTCATTCTTCGCCATGGCGCGGCAGTCCAGCGATGGAGTCACGCTAGGAGGAGCTCTTAGTCGACGCTCCTCCTCCTCCTCCTCCTCCTCCTCCTCCTCCTCCTCCTCGTTCTCCCTCCCTCCAACCCTCCCTCCCTCGCTCTCCCTTCCAAGCGCCACGGCCTCACCCACCTGGCCTCGGCGAGGCCCAAACGCTTGTCCGCAGTGGTGGTCATTGTTATGTTCCTCCTCGGATTTCTCCTCCTGCTCACCCACCTGCTCCCCCTCCTGCTTCTCCTCCTCCTCCTCCTCTGGGGGGACGCGGGCGAGGACGCGCAGAGAGCCTCCACCCTCCTCCCTACCTCCTTTCTCCTCTCCAGGCTGACTGCATAGCCCCCATGTTTTTCGTTATTTAATCGCTTCGCTCATGCCGCCGACCCTGGAGCCCTCTTTAGGGCCTCTTGGGGGCCTCTTGGGGACCTCTTGGGAGTCTCTTGGGGCTCCTTGGCGGCGTTTTGGAGGCCCCCAGGGCCTCTTGGGGGGCTCTTGGGGGTAGTCGATTGCGGCTCCCCCCTCGGAGGCCACGATCCTCGTGAGGGGTGTCGAAAAATACCCTCCCCTGGAGTGGTCTGGTGGCTTCTCCGGGCTTCTCTCGGGACCTTGCCGGGGTACTTTTCGTCCGGGGGCCCCCAGGGGCCGCTCCGCGCGCGCGAACTAGAAATATTGTTAACAAGTTACCGGAGATCTTAGCACGCCTCTGGCCCGTTGGGCCGGCGAATTCGAAGAAGCAAGACTTGCATTCATTATAAGTTGCCGGATGACCGCTCGGATTTCTCGGATTTGCTCCTGGGCACCCTCCGGTGCGCTCTGCGCACCAGGGCGGGGGGTCCAGCGCTGCTCCAGGAAGTATGGTTATACCGTGTGTTGGCCCTCTGCCGGTTGCCTATCTCCCCAAGCCGGTTGCCTATTTCCCCTGTTTTCCGCACCGTCGTTTCTAGCGATAAGTCGGGCCTGTCCCTCTACAGGGGGAACATTCAAGACTAGTCCAAAAACAGTCGGGAGATTATTTTGTTTTACCATTTTTGAGCATTTTGGGGGCATTCGTCGGGTATTCTTGATTTTTCGCCCCACATCGGCCTGTAGGGGGACAGGCCCGACGTAACGCTTCGCGCCGTCCGCTGTCCTCTCATCCTTTTCGTGCGCCGGGCTGCCTGGGGCTCGGGGCTGCGCCTCCCCTCGCTGCGGAGGGCGGCGGTCGAAGCAGGAATACTCCCGGAGCTCTCGGCGTGACGGCCTTCCACAAGATGGCGCGCAGGCTGCTGCAGTGCCGAGTCCGACCGACATCCTCCTCCTCCTGCTTCCTCTCCTCCGCCCTCTTTTGTGAGTGCGGCCAGGAAGAGGAACGGCGGGGGCTCCAGGACGCGTCGGCCGGCGAGCCCGACGACAAAACCGTCCTGTCCCAGTTCAGGGGGCTCACCAGCGAGCAGGCCGAGGCGATCCTCGACGCGGTGAAGTCCAAAGCCGAGGCGACCCGCGAGGTTGGCGCCGCACCCGGCCGCCGACCCTTCGATCATGTCTCTATCTGAGACCGCGGCTGGCCACCGCAGGCGTCGAGCGAAGAGGCATGTACTGAGGGGGGGTGAGGAACGGTACAAAATAAATTTGTTTCCGCCGTCGGGGACGCCTGCCTCCGGGCGACTGGAAAGTTCATACCCCCACGTGGCACCGTAAGGGTATAGACTTTCCAGCCGCCTGGGGGGCATGCGTCCCCGACGGCGGAAAAGTTTATGTTATACCAGTCTTCGCCCGCTAATGAGCAGAAGGAGTAGGAATGAGACAAGGATGAGCAGAAGGAGGAGGAGGAGAACGAGGAAGACAAGGAGGGCGATGACGAGGAGAGTAATGACTTCGGGGGGGCAGAGAGGGAGCAATACACACACACACACACACACACACCTATATATATATATATATATATATATATATATATATATATGTGTGTGTGTGTGTGTGAAAGGGCGTGCCCGCAGCGCCGGGAATGAGGACAGGGGGGCCCAAGCTTCAAGCTACCTCAACCCCCCCTCCCTTCCAGAAGATGGGGGAGCTTCCGAAGCTACCCCACCCCCCCTCCCTTCTGTAAGGGTTTCTAAGCTAGGGGGCCCTGGCTAAAGGGGGGGGGGCTTCGAAGCTATCCCCCTCCCTACCTTTTCCAGAGCACAAGGTGAGCCAGGGCTTCCCTTTCAAAAGGGGGTTGGGGTTCGGAAGCTACCCCCCCTCCTTCCATTTTGGGTCTGGACACAGGGGGGGGCGGTTTCGAGCTACCCCCCCACCCTCCTTTGCAAAGGGGAGGGGCTTCCGGAGCTACCTCCCCCCCCGTCCCTTCCGGCCGGGGTTATGGCAAAATGGCTGAGTCCTTGCAGACAGGTGCGAACCGCAGCGCTAGAGAACGCATTGGAGAATAGCGTCGACCCCTCGTTCGTTGTCTTGTTTCCTTGTTTTCTCGGCCCCTGGTTCGTAGTCTCGTTTTCTCGGGCCCTGATTCCTTCTATCGTTTTCTCGTGTTCTCTGCCCCTGGTTTGTGTTTCGTTTTCTCGTTTTCTCGGCCCCTTGGTCGTGGTCTCGTTTTCTCGGACCCTGCTTCGTTTTCTCGTTTTCTCGGCCCGTGGGTCGTGATTTTGTTTTCTCGGACGCTCGTTAGCATTCTCGTTTTCTCGTTGTCTCCGCCCCCTGGCGGTCATCTCGTTTTCTCTGACCCTGCTTCGTTTTTTCGTGTCCTAGTTTTCTCGGCTCCTGGGTCGTGGTCTCCTCGGACCCTGGTTCGTTTTATCGTTTCCTCGTTTTCTCGGCCATTGTGTCGTGGGGCGTTTTCGAGTTTTCTCGTTTCCACGGCCCCTGGGTCGTGGTCTCGTTTTCTCGGAGCCTGGTTCGTTTTCTCGTTTTTTGTTTTCTCTGCCCTTGGGTCGTGGTCTCGTTTTCTCTGACCCTGGTTCGATTTCTCGTTTTCTTGTTTTCTCGGCCCCTGGTTTGTAGTCTTGTTTTCTCGGGCCCTAGGTCGTGGTCGTGTTTTCTCGGGCGCTGGTTCGTTGTCGCGTTTTCTGTGCCCTTGGGTCGTGGTGTCGTTTGCTCGGACTTTGGTTCGTTTGCTAGTTGTCTCGTGTTCTCGGCCCCTGGGTCGTGGTCTCGTTTCCTCGGGCGCTGGTTCGTTTTCTCGTTTTTGTTCGGCCCCTGGATCGTGGTTCCGTTTTCTCCATCCTTGGTTCGGTTTCTCGTGTTCTCCGTTTCTCGGCCCCTGGGTCGTGGTCTTGTTTTCTCGGACCCTGGTTTGTTTTCTAGTTTTCTGATTGTCTCGGCCCCTGGGTCGTGGTCGTGTGTTCTCGGACCCTGGTTCGTTTCACGTTTTCTGGTTTTCGCGGCCCCTGGGTCGTGGTCTCGGTTTCTTGGGCCCCGGTTCATTTTCGCGTTTTCTCGGCCCTTGGGTTTTTGTTTCGTTTTCTCGGGCGCTGGTTCGTTGTCTTGTTTTCTCGTTTTCTCGGCCCCTGCGTCGTGGTCCCGTTTTCTTTGACTCTGATTCGTTGTCTTGTTGTAAGTTCTATCGTCCCCTGAGTCAATTTCTCGCTTTCTCGGACCCTGGTTCGTTTTCTCGTTGTCTCGTTTTCTCAGACCCTAGGTCGTGGTTTCGTTTTTTCGGGCACTGGTTTGTTTTCTCGTTGTTTTGTTTTGTCGGCCCCTGGGTCGTGGTATCGTTTTCTCTGCCCCTTGGTCGTGGTCTCGTTTGCTCGGACCCCGTTTCCTTTTCTCGTTGTCTCGTTTTCTCAGCTCCTGGGTCGTGGTTTCGTTTTCTCGGGCCCTGGTTCGTTTTCTCGTTTTCTCGTTTTCTCGGTCCCTGGGTCGTGGTCCCGTTTTCCCTGACCCTGGTTCGTTTTCTCGCTTTCTCTGCCCCTGGGTCGTGGTCTCGTTTCTGGTTTTCTCGTCGCCTGGGTCGTGGTCCAATTTTCTCGGGCCCTGGTTAGTTTTCTCGTTCACGTGTTTTTTCTCTGCCCTTGGGTCGTGGTATCGTTTTCTCGGACGCGGGTTTGTTTTTCCGTTTTCTCGTTTTCTCTGCCTTTGGGTCGTAGTCTCGTTTTCTCTGACCCTGGTCGTTTTCTCGTTTTCTCGGTTTCTCGGCCCCTGGGTCGTGGTCCAGGTTCCTCGGACCGATATTCGCGTTTTCTCGGCCTGGGTCGTGGTCTCGTTTGCTCGTGCCTTGGTTTGTATCCTTGTTTTCTCGTGTTCTCGGCCCCTGGGTCGTTATGCTGGTTTCTCGGACCCCGGTTCATTTGTTCGTTTCCCCGTTTTCTCGGCTTCTGTGTTTTTGTTTCGTTTTCTCGGGCTTTGGTTCGTTTTCTCGTTGTCTCGGCCCTTGGGTCGTGTTCTCGCTTTCTCGGGCCCTGGTTCGTTTTCTCGTTGTCTCGTTTTCTCGGCCCCTGGGTCGTGGTTTCGTTTTCTCGGGCACTGGTTTGTTTTCTTGTTGTTTCGTTTTGTCGGCCCCTGGGTCGTGGTCTCGTTTTCTTGGGCGCTGGATTGTTTTCTCGTTTTCTCTGCCCCTGCGTCGTGGTCTCGTTTTCTCTGACCCTGGTTCGGTTGTTGTTTGACCCTGGTTCGTTTTCTCGTTTTCTGGTTTTCTCGGCCCTTGGGTCGTGTTCTCGCTTTCTCGGGCCCTGGTTCGTTTTCTCGTTGCCTCGTTTGCTCGGCCCCTGGGTCGTGGTTTCGTTTTCTCGGGCACTGGTTTGTTTTCTCGTTGTCTTGTTCCCCATATCCTAAGATGGGGTTATTGTTCTTAATTGGACGCCTCCTACTCCGTCTTCCCCCTCTTTTCCTTCTCCTCCTCCCCATACCCAGACTTACTCACACTCAGATTTCTCATACCCAGACTTACTCAGACACAAACTTACTCATACTCAGACCTACGCATACTCAGACCTACTCCTACTCAGAGTTATCCCTACTCAGAGCTGCTCATGCTGAGCCTCACTCATGCCCAGACTAACTAATACTCGAACTTGTTCCCAGACTTACGCGTACTCAGACCTGCTCGTACTCAGACCTTTTCATTGTCTGATTTATTCCACACACACAGCAGATTGTTAGGATGTCTCAGGCGGGGCGCCTGCTTCAGCCCCCCTGAGGGGAGCCGCCAGGGGTGTTTTCACGGTCCCGTTCGCGGCCACTTTGTGGGGATGTCTCAAGCGGTTTGCTTGTTGTATGTCCCAACATCCGTGGGTATCCGAGCAGATTGTGAGGAGGTCTCAGGCGGGGCGTTGGTTTCAGCATCCCTAAGGGGGGCCGCCAGGGGTGTTTTCACGGTCCCGTTCGTGGCCACTTTGCGGCCGTCAAGCGGTTTGCTTGTTTTCTGCCCCAATATCATTCTTTGTCGGAGCAGATGTGGAGGATGTCTCGAGCGAGGCGCTCATTTTCACGTCCTTGAGGGGAGCCGCCGAGGGGTATTGCTCGCGGCTGGTTTGTGGGGATGTCTCAAGCGGTTTGCTTGTTTTCTGTCCCAACATCAGCCGCTGTCGGAGCAGATTTGGAGGATGTCTCGAGAGAGGCGCTCATGTTCACCACCCAGGTGGGCCAGATTGTGAGGATGTCTCGATCGGTTTGCCTGTTTTGGTGGCCAGGCTCGTGGGCGCAGATTCTTTTCAGGATGCCACAGGAGGCTCCAACAGGCTCCAGGAGGCCCCAGGAGGCAACATGAGGTCCCAGGAGGCATCAGGAGACCACAGAAAGACTCAAGAGGCCACATGATGTCCCAAGAGGTTCCAAGAGGCCCCAGGAAGCTCCAGAGGGCCTCAGGAAGCCACAGGAGGCCACAGGAAGCGCCAGGAGGCCTCGGAAGGCAACAGGAGGCCCCGAGAGGCTCCAGGAGCAGGAGGCCGCAGAAGGCAACAGGAGTGGCTCCAATCCCATGTGTTTTACGTATGCTCCTATCGATTGGGCCTCACCTGGAGCACGATTCCTTGCTGTTATACGTATGCTTATATATATATATATACACATATATATATATATATATATGTATAGTCCTTCTCCGGTGTACACAATCCTACATGTTTTACGTATGTTCTATATAGTGGGCCTCTCTTGGGGCACGAGTCCTTGGTGTTTTACGTGCGTTCCTATGGATTACCCTTCTCCTGCGGCTCTAATCCGCAATGTTTTACGTACGTCTGTTGCTATATATTGGGCCTCTCCTGGGGCACGAAACCTCCCTAGGAGGTCCCAGGAGGCCCCAAGAGGCTCCTGGAGACCCCAGGAAGCCCCAGTAGGTTTCAGGAGGCTCCAGGAGGCCCCAGGCTCATGCACAGAGACGCGCTCGTACTCCTGAGGCTCATTCACACTCCAATTCATTCGCAGTTAGATTCATGTCCAGACCGCCACAACTGAAGCCCGTTTATATTCGAAAGCTCTTGCGCCTAGACATTCGCGGCGGACAGGTCCTGGCGAATAGATGCACATATGGGGAGCTTCACGCAGTGAATAATTTTCTCGGCTCCTGGGTCGTTGTCTCGTTTTCTCTGACCCTGGTTCGTTTTCTTGTTTTCTCGTTTTCTCGGCCCCTGGGCCATGATCTCGTTTTCTCGGACCCTGCTTCGTTTCCTCGTTTTCTCAGCCCCTGGGTCGTGGTCTCGTTTTCTCTGACCCTGGGTCGTCGTCGTCGTCGTCGTCGTCGGTCGTCGGTCGTCGGTCGTCGGTCGTGCGTCGTCCGTCGTCCGTCGCCGTCTTCGTATGACCTCGTCCTCGTCGTGACGACCACGACGAGGTCATACGAAGACGGCGACAATGACGGCGACGGCGGCGGCGACGACGACGAGGACGACGACGGCGTCGTACGAAGACGTCGAGCGATGGCGACGGCAACTACAACGGCGAAGGGGGAGGATCGTCCGGCAGGAGGGGGTTCAAAGGAGGGGGGAGGTAGCTAAGCCGCCCCTTCCCTTTTGGAACGGGGGAGAGGGGAGGGTAGCTTCCGGCAGGGGGAAGAAAAAAATAGAGGGAGGGGGGGGGGGCATCTGGCAGAGGGGGGTCAAAGGAGGGGGGGGCAGCTAAGTCTCCCTTCCCTTTCGGAAGGGGGGGAGGGGGGGCAGCTTCCCTCGTGCCGAAAGAGGGGAAGGGGGGGGGGCTGCTAAGCCCCCCCCCTTTGGAACCAAATGGGGGAAGGGGGTAGCTTTTGGCAGAGGGTGGTCAAGGGGAGGGGGGGGGACGCTAAGCCCCCTCCCTTTGTAAAGGAGGGGAGGGGGGGGATAGCTCTGGAGTAGCGAAAGGGGGGGAGGGGGGGTAGCTTCAGAGGGGAAGGCGTCAAAGGGGGGGAGGGGGGGGGAGCTTCCAGCAGGGGAGATGGAAGGGAGGGGGAAGTAGCTAAGGGGGGACCAAACCGCCCTTTGCTCCGGCGCTGTGGGCGGCGCTGTGGGCGCGCTGTTTCATATATATATATATACATATATATATATATACAGAGTGAGAGAGAGAGAGAGAGAGAAAAAGAGAGAGAGAGAGAGGGCATGACGAGGAGGCAGTGGGGGAGAGGAAGCAATGGCAGTAACTCTTGTGGCTGAAGGCGGTCCTTTCGGGGCCTTCTTGGGCTGCCTGGGAGCTCTCTTGAAGGCCCTCCTGGGGCGTCATCACGCCTGCTAGGGCCAGCCCCTTCTGCAGGCCCTCTTGGGCAGTCTTGGAAGGTTTCTGGAGCTTTTCTTGAGCACAAAGCAGAAATCCTTTCTAACAAGAGGCATTCTTGTGATTTGGCCGTCCGGGGCCTCCTGGTGTAATTTGGGTCTGGTCGGGACTGGTTGCGCCGTCTGGGCAGATTATGTGGCTGTCCTGACAGCCTCCTGGGACTCGTGGGCTATCCTGACGGCGCCTCGAACAGAAATTCAGTGCTGAGCCTGTTTGTCTCTCCCCTCAAACCTGCGATTTGGAGCTCAGTGGGTGGGGGGGTACATGTGGGGTTGACGAGTCTCGCACGCATGGTGACCCCAAAAGGGTGTGCGGATCATACAGTCGACCCCTGACGACCTGTCTATGTTTGTAGACAGTATCAGGGGGTCCCTGCAGTCTAAGAATGACTTCCGCGCGTGGCTCAGGATGACCCTCGACTCGGCCGGTGGTAGGGAAACAAAGAGATACCAATACCGCTATTCCTCTAGATCTCCCAGATGGGGTCGGAGTAGATGGGGTCGGAGGATCGCGGCGCATCTCCGATGCATCGAAGATGCGGCCCGATGTGGAGACCGTGTTTCCCCACGCCGACATCGCCGATGCATCGCCGATACATTGTCGATACATCGGTGATGCATTGGCGATGCGGCGCGGTCCTTCGACCCCAGCTGCTCGGAACCCGTCTAGGAGGCCTTTACCTCCGTGGACCTCTCCCGGGTGCGGTCTGACCCGGGTTTCGATGCGAACCCAGCCGTCGCGACGAGGGGAGGGCAGCGGTACCGGCATCTTCTCCTCTGAGGTGATTCGAAGGCCGACGAGATCACGAACTTGATCGTCGACAGGATCTAGGCCTCCCGGATGGGGTAGGAGTAGACGGGGTCGGAGGATCGCGCCACATCCCCAATGTATCGCAGGTGCTGCCCGATGTGGGCCCCGATTCTCCACACGCCGACGGCGCCCAGGCAGCACCGACGTCGCCGATGCATCGGCGAGGCGGCGCAGGCCTCCGACGCCATCTGTCGGACCCCAACCAGGAGGCCCCATACAGTCGGGGCGCTGAATAAGGAGCCTTTCTCGTTGGCGAGGGGCTCCGTGTCCTTCATTGTTGTACTGCCTCGGGTTTTCTTTTGTTTTCCACGGGAAATCGAAACTTAGCTTATGGGAACAAGGGGCCCCGCTCCTTATTTTTAGGGTTCCTTAGGTCAACGCCCCGACTGCACAGGATGCGAGGGCTGCTCTACCCGAGCCCTGCTGCACCAGCGGGCACCGGAGCCGCTCCACCAGCGTTAAGTCGGGCCTGTCCCTCTACAGGGGGAATATTTTGAAACAGTCAAAAAATAGTATGGGGACGATTTTGTTGACTATTTTTGCGCATTTGGGGTGCATGTTTTGAGTATTTTTATATTTCCGCCCAAACTCCCCTTGTAGGGGGACGCGCCCGACTTAACACCAGCGCCGGAGCCGGCTTTCTCCGCGCCCGCCCCCGTGCCGCACAAGGCCGCCCCCAGGGCGCCGGCCCCGAGGGCGCAGCCGCCCCCGCGGGGGCTGCAGGCGCCGCTGCCGCCGCCGCGGCTGGCGGCGCCCGCGGCGGCCCCGCCGGGCCAGCCGGGCTCCAGTCAGCACGGTTAAGTTTAAATCGGGCATGTCCCTCTACAGGAGGGATATTCAAAAATAGTTCAAAAATAGTTTGGGGATTATTTTTTTAGTATTTTTTTGACAATTTTGGAATATTGTTTGAGTATTTTATTTTTCGTCGAAAATCACCCTGTAGGGGGACACGCCCGACTTAACTCCAGTCATCACGATTAAGTCGGCTTCACGTAAGTCGGAAACTGGAACATACACATTGCCAGTGGCGGGTTGTTATTTCAATCCCAGGACTTTTGAGGGTCGGGGACGACGCTGGGGTGGTGTGGTGTATACTTTTTGCCCCGATGCTCCGGGGAAACAACGAAAAATGTATACACCAGGGTCCCGTATACACCAGAATCCGCGTTCTTGTGCGAATTTCAGCGCAGGGTCGGGAAAAGCGCCGGTATATGGAGTCCGTTTCCCTAGTAAGAGTGACCTTTCGCCGGAGTGACCTTTGTGGTGCGGGCCCACTGGGGCTCCCCGATGACCGAGCGCGATGCGGCAGTAGCGTCTCGCGCGCTAGTGTTTGGCCCCCCCGTGGCCCCCCCAAAAGTCGCGCACCAAAGGTCACACTTACCCAGGGTCACTCTTGCGTGTAGCCGATGAAGTCGGGCCTGTCCCTCTACAGGGGGGATGATTTGTTGAGCATGTGTTGGCCATTTTGTGAGCATTTTTTTGATTTCATTTTTCGTCCAAAATCCCCCTGTAGGAGGACAGGCCCGACTGAACAGTACGATGGTACGGAAGTAATGGGCACGACGGCCCACCTCGGCGACTGCAGCAGGTGTGGCTGCGCCAGCGTGTGGTCTGCGATCCGCGTGGGCTGGGGCTGGGGGGGGGGGCGCCGCATGGCCCGTTGGGCCTCCTCGGGGTGCGGCGGAGAACTCTGTCGAGGTTCTTGCCCATCCCCACGCGTGCGGGTTGCAAGCCACACCCTTGGCAAGCCACACCTGTCGGAGTCGCCGACAACAGCGTACCCGATCCATGTTGAACAGTGCTCGCTGTCGGCGTCGCCACGGACGTTGCCCATTTGAGACAAAGGGTCGCCTGCCCAACAGCGGCCGCTGTCGGTTTGGGACAAGATTTGCTGTTGGGCATCGTACCCATTGGTTCCACACCCGTCTCGGATGTGTCAATCCAGCCCTCCCAGTTGGGGTCCGAGCAGATGGGGTCGGAGGATCGCACCGCGTCGCCCATGCATCTGCGGATGCAACTCGATGTGGAGCCCGACTCTTCTTCCATGCAGACAGCGCCGATGCATCGCCGACGTCGCCGATGCCGCGCGAAGCATGGGCGGCGCGCTGCCGATGCGGCGCGGCCCTCCGGCCCCCTCCGTTCAGAGCCCGTCTGGGAAGCCCCCCACAGGAGGCCCGCAGCAGGCCCCGCCGAAGCCGCCCCCGCCGCTGCTGCCGCATAAGGCGGCGCCGTGGCGGACGGCGCCGAAGTCGGTGGATCAAAGATGGGGCCCTGAGAGGCGGGGTCCTGAGGGCGACGTGCCCCAAACAATGTAAATCCACCCCTGGATCCCTTCCAATCCTCAGGAATATTTAGAGAGCCCCCGTCCCTCAGATCTTCGGACCACCGACGAAGGCGCCCAGCACTCTGGTGGCAGCGGCCGCCGCGGCCGCCCAGCCGCGGACGCCCCGCGCGGCCAGCGGGACCGTGTCCGCAGCCGCCTCGTCCGGGGCGCCGCGCGGAGCCGCCCCGAGGCGGGCCCCAACGCCACCGTCCAGGAGCCGAGCGGGGCAGACCCCCCAGCGGTGGGATTCAAACGATCTTTACGTCCTTCTCATAATTATGTCGCCGCGCCGTTTGTTCCGACGCGCAACCTTGCGTCTTGGGGAGGGCGCTTGGGCCACCTGGGCAGACGCCGCCTCGAGCGTGGTGGGCTTCCCGTGGGGTTTGCCGCGGTGCCAGCCTCGTCAACTTGGGCGCGGGACGCAGGGTTTGCTGTGGGCTTGCCCTACTAGTAGTGCCGGCGTCGTCCACTTGGGCGCGCTCAGAACAAACAGCGCGGCTACATATTTCAGACTCGTCTGTATACGCAAATATGTAGCAACATTATGATACGCACCTTTCCGATGGGGGTAGAGCTCAGAGGCGAGTATTGTGTCGTTCGCGACTGTTCTTTCCGTTTCGGTCGGGACATCGTCCACATAAAAATAAAACGGACGCGCCCTCACGCAGATCGCGACGTCACGGTCCAACAACACAGCCGAATTCGAATCGCTCTGTGACACAAATTTTCAAGCACAATGGAATTCACTGATTATGAGCCCAGTTCTTCTAACATTACAGAGTCCCAGAAACATCCTCCAAAATCAAATCCACGTTCAACACGTGTTTGGGGAAAAGGCAGTTTCGCTTGAGACATCTTTCCACCAAGTCCCGCCGTACAACACCCACACAAAATGAGAACCCACACACACACACACACACACACACACACACACACACACACACGCACACACGCACACACGCACACACACATACACATAACATACACACACACACACTCACACCACAAAATACACCACAAACACCACACACACACACTGAGCACGCGCACGACACCCACAACACACAGAGCACACAGAAACCGAAAGCACCCACACACACAAGCACACACACGCAGCGGCCTCGCGCGCAGCGCCGAGGCGGAGGAAGGTCGGAAACACGTAGACCCACACACACACACACACACACACACACACGCGCACGCACGCACGCACGCACGCACGCACGCACGCACACACACACACACACACACACACACAACGTACCCAACACGCATGCCCCACACATAACCCACACATAGCATACACGACACACAACACACACACAACACAGGCATACAAAACATATGCACACAACACGCATCGCACAAACTATACTCACCACACGCACACGCACGCACACAAATACATATCCTGCACATGTGCTTGTATGAAACCTGGGAACGCACGTGCCTTCTGTATATGTTTGGTCGTAGACGTGAAAATCTCTGGGCCACCTCCTCGCCCGCTCTGCAAATGCACACTTGCTGCCGTATTCGATCGTCGTGATGGCTCAAGACAAAAGGGCTCGCCTCCGCTCTGGGTCGCGACCGATCGCGACCGATTCCAGGATCGGTCGCCGAATCGGTCGCGGTCGACATCGGAACCTGACGCAAAACCAGTAGCCAGTAGCGACCGATCTCGTCGGCCGCGGCCGAAAAACATGGTATCCAATGATCTGGGATTCAGGATAAGCCACGCGCAGAGGGGGGGCAGGGGGAGGGGAAGGCGTCTTAGAAGCACACCCGCTCCTTAGAAGGCGCGGGCCTTCTCTGCAGATCTAAGGCGGGCGCCCTCTAAGACGCAGCCTCCGTCTACAAAGCCGTCCCCCCTCCCCCTACCCCCCTCTGCGCGCCGCCAACAGGAGCCCGTCGCCACCAGTACGCTCGGAATCGGCGCAGCCCGCGGGGAGGCCGCCGCCTCCGCCGCCCCCGCTGCGCGGCGGCGTCGCCGGCGAAGCCCGCGGCGGGGGCCGGCGCCCTGGCGGAGGCCGGCCGTGCGGGAGAGAGTGCGAGGCCTCCCGGAGGGGGTCCGAGCAGATGTGGCGCCATCTGGGGGTCCGAGGTGGCCCACCACTGGTTTTGAGTCGGGCATGTCCCTCCATAGGGGGGGAAAATTCAGCAATAGTCAGAAAATAGTCGGGGGACGATGTTTCTACTATTTTTCATTATTCTTTGGCTTGCGC